AATTCGATGCTTCTACGCTTTCGTCTGCGAGCAGCCGACTGCTATATAAAGGCGACACTCAGCTGCAAGTCAAGTTAGTGACAAAGCAAACTCGTTGGCGTTAACATCAGTGAAGTCGTAAAGTGAACGCGTTGGGAATTACATTTAAGTAGAGTAAATGGTGAAAGTTGATGCAAGTGATTGTAGCTAGTAAAGTGCCTTGTAATTAAATTGTGTATTACGGAGTAAATAAAGGACATAGATAAAATCTTTATTACGAAAGAAACTGCAAATGAAGTTGGCGAGTTTTATTTAACAATCCAGAGATCGTACCCGAAGGATTTAGGAAATCATCGAGGTTGATTTAGTAAAATCGTAACAATATTATTATGACATACCTAATATTTGGTTGGTATCATCAACAACAAAGGATCTAATAATATAGAGAGCAACGCCTTAACAATAATTAGTGCTGCCTGTGACTTTAATTAATCAACTAAATACTTGGACTGCGACGTTTAATTATTAAAAGAAAATCTACTAAAAATATGAGAACCATTAAATTTGAAACGAAGGTATTTTCTTTGCCCAGTTTTGATACTTTTAACTGTAGTTAATTTTTTTATGCCATATTTTTTTTTTAATTTTATTGAGAGAAATGTTAAAATTGAATATTTTTTCGTTTACAAATGCAATAAATAATTACTTTACGCCATATTGTGTGTGGGACTTCGGAAATATTTTTTTTTATAAATAAAGCATTTATTCAAAAATACTGTTAAGACAAGTTAACATGCGAGATATAAAGCTTTTTTTCACTACTACCAAAATATACCTTTCTTGAGAGTTACAACTTTTTGGCACGTTTTGAGATCAATTTTGTAAATTTAAAAAATTTCAATTCGGGCTCAACCGGGATTTGAACCCGGGACCTCTCGCACCCAAAGCGAGAATCATACCCCTAGACCATTGAGCCGCTTAATTTTAACCAACTGGCATTTTCTTTTGGCTTGTCTCTTTGAACTTCTTCCGTTGGCGTGCCATCTTCATTAATAGTTTTGATCGTTTTACTATGCAATGCAGATACATACTTGTACATATGTACATATAAATAACTATTTATCTATTTTCTGTTGCATTAATTAAAAAAGCGGAGCTTCGTGTTTTCCAAACTTGTTTCACTCGATATCTTTTGTGTTCAGAGCGTACAAACTGATTGCGAGAGTAGTGATATAAATATCATGTAGGCTTTGTGAAGATACAAAATTCACATATGTACATATAAGAGTACATAGATTTGATTCGAAACAATACAAGTGAGGCTACTCAATGGCTTAAGAGTTCAACCTCCGGTTTTTACTCTTTTCAACCAACCGGAATTAGAGGCAAATTCCTTTGAAGTTTTATCTTTCAATTGCCGTTTTATTCTTCTTCATTGACGTGTACGACGGTTACACGATTATAGCCGAATAAATAATAGCACATCATTCGGTTCTTAGCTTCGCTGTTTAGCCCCAGTTGCAAGTACTAAGTGAAACCAGATCGCTCTCCGTTTGATCTTCCAACGAAGTGGAGGTCTTCCTCTGCTTCCACCTGATGATACCACATTGAAAAGCTGGTGCGCTTTTATTCATTCGGGTGACATCTTTCTCTAAGACTCCCAGGATCCAATTGGGTGGATGTCAAAATATCGCCCACACTTCTGCATCAAATAATAGGACGGGAAATATGTGTGACTTGTAGAGTTTGCTTTTGTTTCATGGAGAGGGAACTTTACTTTTCAATTACCTACTCACTCCAAAGTTGGACTTGTTGGCAAGAGTGATTGTGTTAAAGGCTCCAATGGTTCCAAGGTAGACGAAATTATCTGCGACTTCAAAGTTATGGCTGCCAACAGTGACATGGAGGCCGAGTCGCGAATGCGATGACTTTTTGTTTGACGACAGGAGATTTTTCTTATTGTCCTTGTTCACTACCAGGCCCATAACCTTCGCTTACTCATCCAGTCTGGAGAAATCAGAATTCACGGCACGGTTGTAGAGGACAATTCTGTCAACATCATCGGTGTATGCCAGCAGCTGTACACTCTTATAACACCAAAGTTTGATTCAAGAGACCACAGAACATTCGACCAATCTTCTTCCGTGAAATGTTGGTATCGGCGAGCCCATGCCAAACGATTTTCCAATTCTTTTCGGCTTCTTTTGGGCTTTACATCCTTTTGAACCTGCTTCCAGAAGTCTTTTAGCTGTTCGATCACTAACTGGTTTACTATAATAAATTCATCTGAAAGGGCAATTGCAAGGGCAGAAGAAGAGACTCGCGTATAATTATTCGATGTTCTCGTTTACTGGTTAGACACTTTCCTCCACTTTTTGATTTATTATTCTGGTATTTCGTCTCTACAAATCGCCTGATAGCACGTTGGACCGCGCGCCGCGAACATCCCACCGAATTTGGCAATCTCAACCTGAGACTTAGCTTCTTCACTTAAAACTTGAATTCTAAAAATGGTGTACAACTTTGCTTCCGCCGTTTTCCGATAAATGTCTGTACCGGCTGAGGATGGTTGAAATACATAGATGATAATGCCTTTAAAGTGAGTGTGGACAGTATTATTCACACTCGAAAACGTCCGTTTATGTGCTTAGTTCTCGCCATTGCGCATCGAATGCTCTCTGAAACTTACGGTGATGCTGCTCTGAGTGAAAGAAGGTATCGAGAGTGGTTTCAACGTTTTAAAAATTGTGATTTCGATGTCGAAGACAAACATGGTGGTGGTAGAAAAAAAACATTCAAAGATGAACAACTAGAAGCATTGCTTGATGAAGATTCGTGCCAAACCCAAGAACAGCTTGCCGAATCGTTGGGAGTGAGTCAGCAAGCCATTTCAAAACGTCTCAAGGCCCTGGGCATGATTCAGAAAGAAGGAAACTGGGTGCCGTACGAGTTTAAACCGAGGGACATCGAGCAAAAGTGGTCAAAAAGTACTTGGAAACACTGAAATGGGAAGTCGTGCCCCACCCGCCGTATTCCCAAGATGTCGCCCCTTCTGACTTCCACCTATTCCGTTCGATGGCACACGGCCTGGCAGATCAACATTTTCAATCCTTCGAAGAATTGAAAAATGGATTGCTTAATGGATAGCGTCAAAAGAGGACTCCTTTTCTCGAGTCGGGATCCGAAAATTACCGGAAAGATGGGAGAAAGTTGTCGCCAGCGAAGGAAAAAAGCACTTTTTCGCAATAAAGCTTTTAATTTTGGAAAAAAACGGCGGAAGCAAAGTTGTACACCTGAGATTGGTTACTTTTCACTAAATCTAATTTACACTTTCACTTTCAAATTTTAAATACGAAAATATTTTATGAATCCCTTAAAAATGACAACTTTTAGGTTTTGTTTACCCAGAGTGGTATGACTTTTAATATTACATAATTTATCCGTTTAATCAAGAGTTAAACACCCATGTGAGACATTTACAAAAAGAAGTGGTAACTTTGATAGCCACATTCGAGAATACTTGTATTTTAGTGGGGTGCCTAACACTTTTGTCCGAGACTGTATACATATATTTAATAGTTTTTATTGATATATATATATATTTTTTTTTTAATTTCAGGACGCCCTGGTGTCGACTATCCCATACTCTCAGCAATACCATATACGAACTTCTATTGCGATGAACAGGCATATCCGGGCTTTTTTGCTGACATGGAGACGAGATGTCAAGGTGAATATACATATATATATACATATATATCAATCAATCATTGACTAAACACATTTTTATATCCACCAGGTTGGCATTACTGCGACATAGATGGCCGACAGGCATCCTTCCTCTGCCCGAATGGCACACAATTTTCACAAGCAGTCTTCGTATGCGATTGGTGGTTCAATGTGCGTTGCGATCTCTCGCCACGTCTCTATGCAATTAATGCCAGACTCTATCAGCGTCCCAAAGTGAATCCAACACGTCCACATCGTATTATAACAAAGGAACTGGTCGATGATATCTTCAATTGAGTGCGTTGAAGCGGATGATGATGAAGGTGGTGATGGAGATGTAGATGAAGAACGAGTTGAAAGAAGTAAGAGCGGCGGAATGCGGAATATGAGCCGCTGAAGATCAAATGATTACAGCGTTAAATTAGTGGGCTATGAGGGTTATTTAAGCTAAAGTGTTCGGAATGCAAAAAAAAAAAGTATTAAATATGAAATTCTAAAAATTTAGAAAAAAAGAAATGCTGAATTTGGTGCAATGTTATGTAGTACAGTTACAAAATACATATGTACATAAAAACTAGCATTATTTGAATTAAAAAAAAATATATATATATATATATATATATGTATTCAATTAATGGTATTATACTTATGAATTGCTAAGATAAGTTTGTAAAATAGTTTTTTTTTCTTTAATAAATATTTGTAGTAAATAATTTAGCGTACATCTATTTAATAAATAATTTGGCATACTATTAAGTTTATTAAATTTAGTTTTAGAAATTTAGGCTAAAATTGATTTAGTGTAAAAGAAAAAAAATTATATTAATTTAAATATATATTACTCTGTGTATTTGTTTTTAGTAAATTTGTATATAAAAAAGATAGCAAATAATAATCATTATGTCTTCCATCGCGGTCAACTGCTTGCATCTATATATATGTATACAAATAAAGATTGTATTATATATTGTATACGTACATACATAGTAACGCCTCTCCACTCAATTAAATTTTACTCTTTTTGTTTATAATTTTAATTGCATTTAATTTTAATATTTTAAGCATTAATTAATAATACTTATTTGTGTTTAAACTATATTCTAGTTAAGCTATAAGCGTTTATTTACATTTAATTTGAGTATTAAATAAAGCTTATTAGCGTGAGCGCAAACAACAACTGTTGCTCTTTTATTAATTTTCAATGAACTCGAAATTATTACAAAATGGATCAATTTTTTATTATTAATATTATTATTTTTTTTCTCACAGCAAAGCACCAAACTGAAACGGACAATTCGAAATATTTGCTCTTTAACAAAAATATCTATTCGGGCTCAACCGGGATTTGAACCCGGGACCTCTCGCACCCAAAGCGAGAATCATACCCCTAGACCATTGAGCCGCTTATTTTAAACAAAATTGGATTTCAATTTATATTTGAAATGCCAAGCAAGAAAATTAATTATTTTAAGTGGACTAAAGACAATTTGTTGCATTGACTAATTATAGTTTGGTTAGTAGTACTAACGGTTTTATTTAAGTGCTTCTGTCGAACCTCGCAGAGATAGCACCAAAATAAATAATCAAGATCTAAATTCGGAAAAGACAGTTAGTTTACGTAGAAACAGACGTCATTCCGCTCTTTTCTTCTTAATCATCAGTGAAGCGATGTCTAAGATATTGAAGAAAATTGCCATTGGTCAACTGGACTTGTGTATCTTCTAAGCATTTGGCTCATAGTTTTATATTTGTTATAATTACTGATGATAGCAGGATTTTTCTTTAATATATAAAAAAAAAAACACTAAATCAAATACTCAAGCAAAATGTATATTTCAAAAAAAAAAAAAAAAAAAAAAAAAAACATCATAAACACTTCCTATTTTACTAAAACATTATAATCTTGAGAATTTCGGTATATGGGTCAACGGATATCCCGGGCGTTAAATAACGTCGGCATGTTTGGGTATGTACAAAAGGGTTAATTCGCTCATTTTTTCTTAAAAATTTTTTTTTTATTGAAGAAATTGTAAAAAAAAAACACATCATTCAAAGTATTGTCTACTATCTTTTCCCATTCGAGTATCGTCTCTAAGAAATGAGTGCTCTGTATCTTCGATTCAATTATTGAGCTACGCTTCGATTTCTTCAAAAAATCTGAATCGGTGACCACCCTCAAATCACTTTGCATGCGTCGAAAAAGCCAGTAGTCAGAAGACGTAAGGTCTGGAGACCTCCCATTACAACGTGTCAAGGTAGTTTCTCACCGTTACAGCTACGTTGGGCCGAGCGTTGTCATGTTTCACATTTAACTTGTCATGCCTTTCGATCGCTTCAGACCGTTGTCACCGCTCAAATGTTTTAGTTGTAGTAGATAACGTTTCGCATCATTGGCTTCGTCTGATGTTAGGAGCTTATATTACATCAAATCCGTCCTAAATCGATGCTAAACTCACCACTTTTGAAACGTTGAAAGAAATCTCCGCACGACATATCGGTTCGCGCAGATTCAACATAAACTTCCACAAGCATTCGATGGACTCCCATAAATGCTGTTAATTCAACACAAAACCAGACATTTTCGAAGAGGCAAAAACCAATTTCGTTGTCAGAAACAGATATTGATGCATATAAATTAGATGAAATAGGTAATCGCTTTCAAGATCGGCCACAATTCGCTGAGTTGCCATCTTTTGATAATGAATCGAATTTATTTACGCTCCCAATATTTTAGAAAATAAACCGTACAGTTTGAGGACTCATTTTTAAAATTAATAAATTATAAAACACCTCGAGAATATTATTCTAAATGTTCAAGGCGATGCGAATAAAAGTTCCGCATTGGAAAAGTGGGCTTTCAAATGCAGGTCAATAGATGAAATTTTACGCAGGCCTTCGAGATATAATTCAAAAGGAATTTGAAGGATTGCTACATTATTTTTAATCACAACTATTTATAAACATATATTTGAGACAGTAAATAATTCGAATAAATATTTAAATTAAATATATTTTTTTTTTATGTTTCAAAAACAAAAAAACAAAAGAGCATTGAATTGAGGATCTTAAGTAACATATGGTTGGTGAACAAGGACTACACAATATTGCAAATAGTCCAATTAATGCCATTAAATTAAAATATTAAAATGATATAAAATAATGAAACCAGCTCATAGTTAACCCCAGCTTCTACGCTTTGAATTTGTTCAAGCTCATTTTTTTCACCTCTACAATGATATAATGAAGAAAATGATGGTCTATTGAGTAGAATTGTTATTGGAGATGAAACTAGGGTCCATTAATATGAACCTGAGTCAAAAAAAATCACCATACAATGGCATAAAAAGAGCATAACATCCACCTAAAGAGAGCTAAAGGGGAAAAAAGCGGAGAATTGATGCGAAACTCACTTTGTGTTGGCTGCTCTGCATAAGGTGGACTTCGATATTTTGAACCACCCACGCTACAGCTTTGCCCTGGCATAGAGTGTTTATTAATTGTTTTCAAGAATTAAGAACAGAGTGGGGAAAAATGTATTACTTATGATTAAATCAAGGTAGCAGTTACGGCGTATTTTGAGGATAATGAGATATTTTATTTTTTTTGGGTATAAATAAATTAATTAAAAACTTATCCGTATTGTCATTTTTTTTTTATCGTCGTCTCTTGTACCCCACTGCGCGAACATAAAGACACTCCTTCGCCCCACACGTATCTTACTAGCTCATGTGCGCACCTATTCGTAAACTAATGAAACAAAAGTAAAAATTAAACTAAAACTCAAAAAGATTTTCTAAAATTTTAAGTATTAATTTTAAAATATTTACAACAACGTAAATTTGAAAAAATTTAACATATTTCTTTTTTTTTAACAAGATTGTTAATATAATATTAACCTCAGATAGCGTGTTAACACTGCACTGCTATATCGACACATATTTCCTCACTCATGGTTCAGCCTGAAAGTATGCAAAACGGCTAAGCAGATACTTGTGTAGCTTTAAGCAAATATAGTTGAAGATTCGTGGAATGTAAACGAAAACGCAACTTATCCCGTTAAGCGTTTATAAAAAAAAAAAATAATGGTAAATTGAAAAATCTTTTGGATTTAATTATTATTGTACATGAATATATTTACATGCACATTTAACAAAAGATTACAATAAAAGTTTGTACTAACGACCATTCACAATGGCAGAAAACTGCAATTGGACATGCAATCAGCATGCGGCTCAATGGTCTAGGGGTATGATTCTCGCTTTGGGTGCGAGAGGTCCCGGGTTCAAATCCCGGTTGAGCCCAATCGATTTTTTTTTAACTTATTTCCTTTTTTTAACTTTTTATCATATTTTTTTAATTACCAATAGTTAGATAAATTGGAAAATTTTCAAAATTAAAAATTTAATATTTATCTATTACTCAATATATGTGTATGTGAATTAAATAAGTTCGCATTGTGCCATGTTTGCGTCTGTGCCTTGTGTAGTATTATTTTTATTTTTATTTAACAACCTTAAAATATTAAATATAATTTACAGAGAATTCACACTTTTTGGTTTAAAACTATTTTCTACTGTACACATGACTAAAACAGTGGCGTTTATACATTAATATGTAGGCCATACATATGTTTGTACGTATGTACATCGAACTTATGCGCTGAAAATCGCACAGCATAAACACAGGGTGTACTAAATTCATAGATTAAACACGCGTTGCAATTACAAGGTGAGCAAAAACAACATCAGACAAGCCTCCAGTGTGAGGCTCAATGGTCTAGGGGTATGATTCTCGCTTTGGGTGCGAGAGGTCCCGGGTTCAAATCCCGGTTGAGCCCGACCGATTTTTTTTCAACTTTGTTTTTTTATCTTAATTAAATAATTTTGCTGCAAAATGTTTAAAATATACTATACATAAGTTTTTATCTAAGTTTTTAGTAAGCCAAAAATGTTTACAATTTAAATAAATGTGCACGTTTTGAACTTTTATCAGATGACATTAAAACCTTTGTAGGCAATATATGTACATATGTACGTTTGTAGGTGGAGACACATTTAGATATGAATGGATAAATGTAATATTTGTATCAAAGCTTTTAATACTTATACATGCTAATTCAGGGAAATGTTCATGTGTACATACATACGTACATACAAATGCACAAGTAGGTAGCCTACTGATCAAGATGAAGTTTTTGTTTTTCAAAAAAATACTGGAGTAAATGCAAGAGCTAAATTATTACACAACTTTCTAACGACCGATGCCTGATAGAGAAGATTGGCGTTGTTTAGTACCATTACATGACCGTTATTAGCAGTAATGAGAATAACGGTTGCATAACTAAATAAACGAGAAACAAAAGAAGACAGGGAATAAAGGATAAATGATTTGGGTCGGGTATGTTTGTGGGGTATGAAATTTTTTTTAGAACACAGCAGTCAATTAATAAAGTCTTAACAAAGATACCTGTGCAACAAGGGAGACTACGCAACCGTAATTATGAATGCCAATGTATGTATTTATTTATTTGTTCAAACACACAACCATAAGTAATTTTACAATGCTTGAACTTAATTCGTATAACTCAAAATAAAACATAATAATAATATCTTAATTAAAACACTAAAGCTGTCCTTTTCTCTCCAAACATGTTAATAGCGTTAAGGGTTAGGGATTTTATTAAAGAGAAAGTAATATTTTCAATATTTGA